GCATTTACATTTTATAAAAAATATTTGGAGATATAATTACGAATAAGTTAAATTTTTAGATTTACTTATACCATAGTCAGTTCCGCTCTAACCACCAATAACGCCCTAGGGCAACAATATTTGACGCCCCTCTCCCCCCCACAAAAAAATCTCGACTTCACATTTTTAGCTTATAATTAACCACATACCTTAAATATGTTTAATACTTATTAATTAAATGTTAATACTTATTTTTTTAGTAATATTACTATTGGAATCATATTTATTTTGTTTCTATAATTTTTTCGAAGTTGACACCGATTTCATTATTCTGGGTAAGGTTCTGGGTACATTCGTACATTACAGAAAGAAAAAATATATAAATATTTTCACAAATGAGTAGATTTTATTATAAATCATACGTTCTGCGTTTCTGTGTGGGGCGTGTATAACAGTCAACATTGTAAATTGTACAAGTGAATATAATTTACAGAATTCAGTCAAAATACACCAACTCGATTTATTTTAAGAAGTGGGTAAAATTGATAATGAGTTGGTTATAACTTATAACATAATATACATATATCTTTGCGTATAATAATTACAGTATCACAACTACCCGAGGGTGGGGGTTGTTGATCACTGAGGCCCATAGACTGCAGGGGCCCCAGGCCCCATCCCAACTAATAATTTACTATTTTCGTATTTGATAACTAATATCAAATTCACATTATTTTATTGTATTTATGTATGAATCAAATTTCACTGTCAGTATAGATATTTGATGTATTATTGAAATATTATTCTACAAATACAGGATGTTGCACGATACATGTGTCAAACTTCTAGAGGTGTTTCTACACATCAAATGGAACAAAAAAGTCCTTATGACCATAATCGAACTATCAATAATAAGGGTGATAATTTCTAGGTTTGTGTTTTTTTGGTTAAACGCAAGTTTGATTCATAATAATGTTCATATCTGCTAAACCCTAGGTACTACAATTAATTTGAATACATTGATGAAAAGCTCATAAAATTGGGATTAGGAAAACAAATCTTACAAGGTTCCCACCTGATATTTTGGGTAAAAAGAATAACACAAATATTTTAAAACTTTAAAATGTCAACATTTTAAAAAAATTCAGTTTTATCTAACAACAATTAATTTTTAAGGCAGGGGTCATAAGGACTTATTTGTCTTATTTTGTTCCATTTGAGGTATAGAAACACCTTTAGAAGTTTCACACATTTATCGTGCAACACCCTGTATAAAATCATGATGACATTTCTCCATATTTTACCAGTCAAATTAAAGAAGGATTATTCCTCCACAACAATTAAGGACCTCGCTTTGTTTATAATTAAAAATATTATTTAATACTACCAAAGATATGAATTAGTTTAGTTTATAAGTATATTACTTAATTATTTTAATGATGTGTATACATGTTTAAAATATATTTCATGTAAATAAATTACTATTGTAATCTTATAACTTATAAGTTATAAGTATTAATATTTTTATTTGTTTTTATGAATATTAAATATATTATTGAAGTTATGTCGCATTAAGATTTAACACATTATTTACATAATTTTATATTTAATAGTATACAATTTGATAGGTACTAATCTTTAATATTACAGTAAAAACAGAAAAATAATACCTAAAATAAAACACCAAATTTTTCTTTTTATCATTCATATTCATAGTAATTTAGACGTCCTAGGGCACTTGCCCCATTGCCCCCCCCCCCTTGGGACGGCTATGACCATAGTTATAATCGAGGTTATAATGTAATTAAATGTATATTTTTTACTAAGACAAGACTTTTTTTCGTCATGTCAAATTATTTTTGTAAGCTTAACTCACGTTGACCTTGTTATTAAAACTACATTTAGTTTGTACCGAGGTTTGTGCAGTATAGTTAATAATATTGTTTCTGGTTTTAACCTAACGGGACATCAATATATTTATATCAAATTATTTTTAGGTCAATATTTTATATAGGAATGTGTTTTGAAATTTGTATTAGTTACGAATACTAAGAGACAGAATAACGGAAAATATAAAATATTGGTTGAATAATAATGACTAATGAGTAAGCGATATTATTAACTAAATAATTGCTGTGTTAAAAAAGAAAATTTACAAAATAATTTTAGCTTATGAGCGGAACGATGAATCTATTGGTTTAACAATGTTCTGTTTTTTTTTTATATATCTGAAGACAATTTTTATAATAGAAAAAATGCTTTAATAATTGTATTAATAATTGGGAAAAAACATGATAGTTATGTACGCCACACCAATTGTTGTAATTCAAATACGAATAACTTTAGATGAATTAATATCTTCACTAAATATTTATATTAGCATTTTCTAAATACGTTGGATCTTTTAGTGCTATTTAAAAACATTTAACATTTTTTGCTTATTTTAGTTTTTTTGTATAATATGTTAATAACCGTTTTATTTTTTGAGGGTTCTGTCACTGGACAGCCTCCCTCTTCATACTAAGTCATCTTGTAAATATTTTCCATAATTATCCTATTTGCTTACTGTATATAAGTTACGGATTGTAAATTTTCTATTTTAAATTAAAAAAAATATATATATAGGTAGTCATTTTAATGTTTGATAAACAAATTTGAAAATGTGATGGGTACACAAGGTTTTTTCTAAGTAGTTCTTACTGAAATCAAGAATTATCGAAAATACCCAGGCACAATTTTTTTTTTAAATTCAATGAAATCATGAAAATGCACAAATAATTTTGCAGTAAAAAATTCATCAAATTAAATATCTAAGACTTGAAAAGTGAATACAAGGTTCTTAATAAGTTTGTATTAGGTATACTGTATTCTAAAAATATTTAAAATACATAGACAAAACATTTTTATATTGTAGGTCTACTATTGCAATTTACAGACAAACAGCAGAGTGAATTACTTTTGTCTGATTTTTTATTGGTCTTTAATAACCCTTTCTCGAACAACTTATAAAGTAATATTCACTGTAGTAATAAAACAATAAATAAATTGAATTGCCATTACAAGTGGGGTTACAATCACGTCTTAATTTGCTGTCCACGTATTTTCTGTTGTTCTATTCTGATTATTGGATTTTTTTATTAAACACATACATAATTTATATAATAGTTGTGAAATGTTTTATGAATTAAAATGTACAATAGTAATTTCCATTCTAGTAGGTATTTATCAAATTATACTAAGTTTCTTAAAATCAACAACATTTTTAAGTGATATAGTTAAAGTTCATAATTTATAATAGATTTTAAGCTGAATAACTAGTAGCTAATAACCTATATTTATTATATTAATTGTATTACCAAACTATTATGTGGATAATATTGCTAGTAATTTGAATATAAATATATAATAGGTACATACCTAGCTTATTATTTACTATTTTACTATTGTACTAATGCCCTTATATTAGTTATAAATATAACTAACTAAGACAATTAATTAGTTCAACATTGGAAAATTATAATATCATTAGTGTAGGTATTCTTATCTAGACCATATTTGCGTATACGAGGTATATTTATACCAGTAGATAGGAACCTTTTGTGAACCGTGTGACCCCCCTCTTAGTTTATTTATTTCCATAAGCGGCGACCCCCACCAAAATGTAAATGTTATGGTATATATCTATATAAATGAAAATTGTAATATTTGTTCATTTCATTAAATCAGAATAGAAACATAAGTGTATAAATTAAGTATAGGTACCTTACGTCATATTAAATAATATTTCTTTACATAATTTTAAGTCATAAAAAAGTAAATTTCTTTTAAAATGTCAATTTATAAAAATTTTAATTCAAACGAGTAGGTATAGTTAATTAGTAATAAGTTTGTAAGGTATCGATGAACTGAGTTACCCGAAAATTGTTGGTCCACTCCTTTGCTCGCCTAAACTTTAGATAATTATAACTAATTATCTATACTCATTTAAATTCGATTTTTATAAATGGAAATTCTCAGATGATATTCTGCTTAGGAATATTAAATAAAAAATGTATGTTATCATTTTTTTTTCTTTTTATCTAAAGGCAATATCGCCTTGTCGCTTCAACCAATCCTCTCTATTCTCATCTAGTCTCTTCATTTCTATATATAGCTCCCTAGCGATAAGAACTTCTTCATATTTCCAAGATTTGTTTCTCTTGGCCGTCTTCTTTCCCCATTTATCTTCCCTTTCATAATATTTGTAATTAACGTGTTATGTCTTGAAAAACTTGGCTTTTCTTATGTCCATGTTATCATTATAAGAAGTAGAAACTTAAAAAAAAACCTAATAACGATAAAAAATAGTAAGTAAGTATAATTGTTTTATCAAAATTAATGTTGTGTAGTACCTGTGGCTTCAAATTACATATAATCAAAATATGTTAAAAAATGTTAATACCCTCTAATAAAATATTCTTACTATTAAAAGAATCACCAGTAAGGTATACATGTACCTATATCAGTACTGTTATTCTTATTTTATTGAAAAAAGTATTGAAATTTTAAAATTTTGTACAACCCACATTACACCTTGTGGACTGTGGTAGTCATACGTTACATTTGACACGTTAAATTTTGCGTACGGCCAATAACCAGATCAATAACCTGTTTACTTGATTATATCTTTAAAATAAATGATTTTTTTTTCATTTAAGTTCTCAAACTAAACAATAATTATTGTATTACCATATTTTGACTTACCTACCTACTATTAATTTAAATAATCTTTACTAGTTATGAGAGATTGTATTATATTTTATGTTTAAGTAAATTATAAGGTTTGGGAAAATTATATTCGATATCTGTTCATTGACCTCGTTAGTAGCTTATATACCAAATAATCGTTCAATGAACTTAGTTTTGTGTTAATCGTTGGACTAGAGACATCTATCAATAAATTATGATTTATGTTCTGCAAAGTCTTAATAAAGTTATTTTAATTTAAATTATTCATCATTAAATAATTGTTTACATTTTAGGAATATGACTGTATTTTGGCTGCACGGCGAAGAACTAATGTTTGGTGGTAATGCAGTACATCCTGTTCAACAAAGGATACCACAGATGAAAATGATGAAAGTCCACATACCGTTCACATTTAAATTACATGAGACGTCTAATTCTTCTTACTCAGGTAAATATTGTTTTTTTATAGATAAAATACTTGAGAACATTCAAAGAAAATACATTTTAATTCATCAATTAAAATATGTTAATAATTTTTGTTTTTAAAACGTTTGATTACCATACAACCATACATTTTTTTTATAGAAATATCTATTTAATAATCGATTTTTACTACAAATATTTATACCAACAGCAATTTAATGAGTGGAATGCAATTAGTTACGATCGATACTTACATAAAATATTATGTTTAAAATTAATTAAAAGTTATATAAGTTACTTTAGGTACTCGTACATTATTACAATTGTTTACAACATATTACATTTTAACATTATTTATTATATTTATGTTCTCTCGTTGTGTTTTAACATACTTTAATTTTGAGTGAGTTATGAGAATTTTTGAATTTTAATAATTTACACACTCATAACTCACTTAAAAATTAAAATATCGTAAAAACAATTAGAGAACACAAATAATGTTCTTGCATTTAAGTTTGATAATATGTAAATTTACTCTAACAACACAAAATTGGAATTACGGAACCTATATTTTGGTATGTTATCCCTTGTGCGTTAGTAAGACAGAGATGACAATAAATGTGGGTACGACGTCTTCTTTAAAAAAAAGTCTGTCATTATGAAACTCATTCTAAGGTAATTGTCGACCCTCGTGATATAGATACAGAATTATAAAAAATGATATATCCTGTAAAGTAAGCGCATCCTTGAATAATCGTATTTCATAATATTGACTATGTTTGCTTCACGTGTTTCTATAATACCATGATAAAATATGCATTGCAATTAAATAATATGCATTTATATTTATAGTTAGATCTTGTTTATTAATTAGAAACCAACGAGTATTATGAGTACCTAACCATATATGACTCAGAGCTTTTAAAGCATATGTTAATTTTAATTGTATGCATTTTAAATTAAATCGAATCGATAATATGTTATTTACCACCTAGTTTATTGTCTGTTGTGTGTATAATATTGGTGGTAAAGTTCGACTTTTATTTATACAATAATTGTGTAATAATAATTATTATAAATAAAGTTATTATAATACAGGCTAGCACAAACATTTTGTAAACATTTCACTGAAATTAAATTAACCAATAGTTCGTTATATGTTAGTTTAAGTTACCGGCAAATACTCAAAGATCCGTTTAACATAATGCTATAAAATATTTGTACAATCCAGCATAAATGCTTTAACTTTCAGAAGTACCTATCGTTTTATAAAAATTTGAACCACTTTGACAAATGTGGATGATTTTTTTTATCGTTAAGCCTACTGCAGCTTAGTGGTTCAAAATATGCTTGTTGTGGTGATTATTTATTTATTATTTGTTAATTATATTTATATACCTAACATAAATCTTAATGTTTTTAATGTTATTATTATTCCTATAATATTATGATAATACGGTGCACGCAAATAAATTATAATATTAAATTATTATACTTATTTAGGTACTAAAAAAAGTTATATTGAATTTTATTTTAATTAATAGTAATTACTCGAGGTGTATTTTTAATCCATACCTACTACTGAGTACCTAGGTCTTAAAACTCAACTACTTTTTCGTGGTAAATACGACAATTTTTATTTATGATTGTATTCAAAATGGTGTATTTATATATGTGCAGTATACTTGAAAATTATTCTTTTTCAAAATGCTTGTTTTGTTTTAAGTGCTAAAATTAATCATTTTTTTTATCATTGCCGATTTGATTTTCTTCCATAGAATTCTATGTACCCATCAAACATCATAGGAATGCCAACTCGTGAAGGTACTGAAATAGTAGTGCTTGAATAAAATATAGGACGCCAAAAATCATGCATATTATGCAATGCTATTTTTATAAATTATTATTCTATTCATTGGCTAATAATATTTAATTATTACCGCAATGTACACACGACTAAAACGAGTATATTAACTTGGAATGTCGATCTTGTTTTACTAAGTAAAACTTAATAAATTATTGGATTTATTTATTTTATATATATCTAATTATCAAACTATTTAATTCCAAAATAATTATAAATAGTATTATTTAAATGTATTAGATAATTTTTAAAACTGTACTTTTGAAATTTAAAGTTTATTGATATCGTTTATTTATTATTAGGTATTCAATTTGATAATTTGAGTGATTTCGACCGTTATTAGTTTTCATTATTATTTATTCATTTCAATCTGTTATAATAAACATATAGTACATAATAATACCTTAAATATCAAGTTATTTTATATTTTTGAGTACTCACATGTTTGTACTAATAAAACAAATAATGTTCAAAATATACCCTCTTCCCTGTTATATTGTTATCAAATTTGCATAAGAGAACATTGTGAATACGATTATTCTCAAGTCTTAACTGAATTCAATTAAGTTAAGAGCTTGTAAAATCCCCTGTGTGATAATTAATAATTAAAAAAATTGTTTTCCTACCATTTTTAAAAATAATTCTACACAAAGCCGGTACTCATATACAGTTTTTTTATGGTAGGTATCTTAACAACGGATGTATGCTTCCTTGATGTTTATTATTAATGCGATCACAAGAACCCGGGATAAAATTATAAAACTGTAAAGTAATGTTTCCAACTTGAGTTTATATATTTTAGTATTTATACATTTTGAAACTTCATACGTAAAGTAGTCGATTTTTATAATAGCCTTAATGATTATTGTGTTTTGTTGTACCTATCTATTATATTATGCTCCGATATATTATTTTCTTTTGTTTCAATTGGTATTTGGTAGGGATTAATATTTAAAATAATATTAAGCTTAATACATATTTAATGTATGTATTCAATGTATAGTACTATAGTATATTATATTATTCTATTTAAATGTATTTACGCCAATAAATCTATATGTATATTTCGCTAAGAAATATAAGTTATTAATTAAATATTAATTATATTATGATGTATTGCTTAAATTATTTATTATTCGATAGTCATAAAAAGTGAAGGAAGTCGCTATGCTGGATAGTATAGATTTCGGTGTACCTCGTCATTGAGTAAGTCACTATTGTGGATGTATTAAATCCGAATTCAATCATAAATCGTTGCATACACGAAAAAACGATTACTAATTATTGCATTATTACGATTATACTATTTTAATAGTAGTAATATAATCTGTAACCAATGGCAACAATTTAAATACCTAATTAACAATCGATTTTCGTGAGAAAATCTATAGGGGTTGAAAAAATAAGCTTTAAACATTTTCAAATCTAAAGAGGCCAAGAAACTAACATTAATGTATACCTATAGATTATTGTTTAACTTGTTTTTTTGAAAATTGCACTAACTTAATATAGTATTATAGTGAAATATTTCAACCTTTGATAGGTTATAATCTACGATTAGTGTTTTTTGAATCACAACAAAATAAGTAGGTAGGTAGTAACGAAAACTGTTTTATTAGAAATAGTTGCATTACATACTTGTAGTTATACATACGTTTATATTATATAACAAGTTAAATTTTTTCAAAATTTTAGTTTCAAACACTCATAAAAATGATTGCGACTTTACAACAAAGTTTTTTTTTAATTCTAGTAATAATAAAGCAATAATTGCAATAATCGACGCAGATACACTGATTGAAGATATAGGCAAACCTGTTCTACGATAATACGTTATATATCATTGTAGGTGATGGTTAGCTATATGTTAAAAAATGATTTACCACGTCCAGTATTCATTCATTATATAGTAAAGCAATTTAGGAATAGTATCTAGAAATGCAGATGGGTAGTAAAATATTTAATTAATGACTCACAAGAGCTCGACGTGTGTTTGAAAATGCGTTTGGTATCTTGTCGGCTGGAAAATATTTCGAATAACAATGCGAATACAACCAGACACCAGTTCTGTTGACAAAATTATTTTAGCAGCTTTCTATCTGCACAATTTAATATGTCAATAGGCCCTGATTTTAACCCAAACAATCAATTTAATGATGTTTGATTCAGGGATGGAAAACGTTTTTAAGTTTTTCGTTTTCGTTTTTGTTTATTGATTTAAAAAATATCGTTTTTGATTAACGTTTTTAAAAAGTTCCTTTTCTATTGTTTCCAAATAACATTTTTGAAAATATTGTTTTTATTTTTTTATAATAGTAACTCGCAATATAGAAATGCACTTATAAGTTAAAAATTAAAATTAATTATTCTTATAATATTTAAATTGTAAATCAAAATTATAAAAAACTTCTGATCTCAAATTAAATTTTTTTTAAATTTTTAAAGTGCATTATTGGTAAAGATTAAAAAGTAAAGTCTTAAGTGAAATTTTTTTCAACATTTTTTTTTCGTGGTATAAATATAATAACGTATAATACTATCAATTATTTTCGTTTTTGTTTTTGATTTCGTTATTAAATTTTTTTCGGTTTTTGGGATTTTTTATTATCGTTATTCAGTTGTTTTTTGTTTTTGTTTTGTTAATTGTTTTCGTTTTTTGTTTTTTTCCGTTTAATAACGTTTTTTAAAAACGTTTTCCATCCCTGGTTTGATCAGTTTTTCAAATATACCTACAACCAATTAAAATAAATAGTTACCCAAAGATATTTTAATTAAAGAGATAAATGTAAACAATATGCTACAATTTGCGCTTCTACAACGCATTAGCATGAAAATTGAAAGGTGATATTGTTTGTCTGTGGTAATTTCGATTTTAGCCATTATAGCTACAGAGTATATACAAATAGAAATAATTCCACTATCTATCTTTAAATTTGTATTTTATGGACATGTTGATATTTATTTTCCTCTCTTCTACCTATATTAGATAGAATGACACCAAAACATAACACGAAACACGTTTTTCTGAAACTTTGGGTAGCATTTTAAGACTTATTTGTAACGTAGTATAGTATATAAATATGCATAGAAATTTGTATGACACATACGTCAATACGTCATGCATTTAGAACGAATCTACGCGATCAGAAATATCCCGAGTC